ACCCCGGGCCTCTGTTTAAACAAGCTCCGGCCTGCTTTTGCATGGAAACAGGCGTCTGCTCTTATTCCGAAGTGACGTGGCTGCCCTCTTCAGCACTGTTTGTTTCAGCTTAAAGTCCTGTCACCAGTCTGACTTCTGACTCGCCCTGTTTATCTCTCTCTCTCCCCTCTGTCAACTCATTATTCCCAAAGGCCAAGCTTGCATTTCCAGGGTTTGTTTACCCAGAGCGGAGGGACAGGGACCAACAGACAGAAGGACAGAGGGAGAGAGGACAGACCAGTGCAACGCCCACAGACACCCCCTCCCCCCAACCTCCTTCCTCTGGAGTGGCTACTTAGGGCCAGTGGACAGTGTTGCTTCTGTTTGTTTGTTTTAAGAGACCTTTTAGGTTGAGAATGGAGTGCTCTCAATCATGCATCAATAGACGTTTATTTAGCACCTACTATGTTGCAGGCCTTGCTCCCTCCATCTCCTACAGGAGACTGTGTGAGTGGCAGGAGCAAAAGGGAGGCTGTGCTGAACCCTGAACTAGGAACTGGGAGGCCCGAGGTCTAGCTGCAGCCTTTCCCATGTCGCATGGACAAGTCAGCGCCACCTCTTGCTGCCCTCTCACCTGTGAAATGGGAATAATAACATCCACTCCCCCCGCAGATGACTGAAGGACACAACCAATGAGAGACACAGGTATTTGTTTGTCCTTGAAGGACTTCCTGGTTGGGACAGAGGGAGGAGGAGCCCACTGGGCCAGGCTCTCTTTCCTCTGGTTGGTTTAGCCCACAAATCGGAACATTTGTTGTGGGGGGGCCAGAAAGTGTTACCCCTGAAACTTCCCCCACACCTCACTCATATATTGGGGGGTGGGAGCAGGGCCTACAGACGGATCTTATTTAATTGCACATTTTGGATTTTTAATTTTGCAGGTCTCTTTTCATAGTTTGGAGCCAACAAAACCTTTTTAAGTCTCAAATATTTTCCTTGGCCCCAGGCACTACGCCCGTAGTGAGCCCAAATGGATAAAACAGCCCTCCGCCTGCCTCCAAATCTCCACCCCAGTTTATTTGTGAAACAGATATAGGATTTTCCAGGACTTTGGGATATTCCCCAAAACAAACAGGAATAACTGGAACATGGAACACGGAGGGTAAAACATGCGTGTGCAGAGCGGAGAAACCTGATCAGCACACACAGTGCTTCCCCACCCCACGCATCTCCCCCGCCACCCAGTTTCTGTGCTCACTCTTCACTTTAAAAACGTTTTAAAAGACATTCCCAGTTTCAGCGTTTCTCCTGCCCACCCCTCAGCCCCCATTCTGCGTAGAAGAGCGGGAGGGGAAGCTGGCCATACGGAGTGGGTGGCCCTGGTGGTGGGGTGTGTTTTGTCATTATTTTGGTGGAGGGTAGGATTTTGCCCTTTGACCTCTGTCCCCAGTAGACGGCACAGGCACCGAGTCTCTCCCCCAGAGATCCTGCTTAGGAAGGCTTGGGAGATGCCAGGACACTCCCAAGGCCCATCTCCCCGGGGAATGGAGACCGGCCCTTCCACTCCAGCCCCCACTGCGTGTGAGAGGAAGTGATTTCTAAAGCCCTTAGTTCTGTTCCCATCCACGCAGCCCCTGGGGACGGGGGTTTCACACCTAAACTGCATCTGATCCTAAAGCCCATGGAAGCCAAGGCTCGGGAGGCCCAGGACTTGGCAAAGGTCACACGAAGGAGCAGGCTCGGACTGAACCCGGGTTTGTTTCATTCCTGTGTCAGTGCTGGCTGACCGGCTCCATGCAGGGTGCCCAGCGTCTGACCAGGCTGCTCCAGGCTGACCTCCGGCTCCCAGGCATGTGGGAGGAAAGGGCCCCCTAGGGGCTGTGGAGTGGGAGGAGGAGCCCCAGGGTGAACCTGGGAGCCAGCATGAGGGCAGGCACGCACTTAAGGCCATCAGGCAGGGGTGGGAGCCCAGTGGGGAGGGGCAGGCTGGACCTGAATTTTCCTTATTCACAGCAGAGCCCCTAAGGGCCAGTGCCACCAGCAGTGATTCGAGAAGCAGGGAGTCAAGTAAAAGGAGGCTCTCCAGGCCGGGCTGGCTGGGCCGGTTCTCGTGAACTTGTCAAGCCCGATTCTCCCTGTTTCCCGGGTGGGGCTGGGACCTGGAGCCCCGGTTCTGTCATCACCCAACCAGGCTCCCCACCCTCGGGCCTCTCTATCCACAGAAAGGCTGGTCTTGAACTCCTGAACTCTGCAGTTCAGAGTGGGAATGACGGAGGGAAAGAGGGAAAGTGGATACAGACAGGGGTGCCCAGTCTGAGCCCTAAAAATGGAGGCGTGCCTTTGCCTCTGGCTCTTGGCCTTTTCCCAGCTGCTCTGGCCTCTGGTGTCTGGAAGTTTGATCTCTTCACAGCTTGAGTCAGGGGCCCAAGCAGACATTGGGGGGGCGGGCGGGTTATTTTACAATACAAATAAAGCGGAGATACCCCTATGTGCCCAGCCCCCTCTCCCCAGTGGACACACTTCTAAAGGGAGGATCTTCTCCCCACCCTGTTAGCTTAGCCAGTGGCAGGAGGGCCCAGGTGCCCGCCCACCCAGGATGCACACTCAGGCCTGCTTCCCTAGTCTGTCTGTCCCGGTGGGCATTTCTGAGACTGTCTGAAGCGCTATGATCTCAGGACCCCGAGTCCTACTTCTTTCTCTGGAAAGCCCAGCTCTCCCTTGGTTAAGGTGGCCACTAGCACGGAGGGCGCAGAGGGAGTCCCTGGGAGCTGGACCTTCCGAAGATTGTTAAAGGGAAGCTGCCTGGCCCGGAGCAGTGGCACCAGTGGCCAGGATGGAGCGGGAAGAGGCCTGGCGTGCCCCCTCCCTGTCCCCGGGGGCCGAGGAGGGGTGCCAGCTCCTACCTGTTGCTGCTGGAAGTGCAGCAGATCCGCAGGGCTCATCTCCCCGTTGCTGTCGGCGCCCGCAGCTGCGTCCCTGCCCGCACCGCCTCCAGCAGCGCCTGCAGCCCCGGCACCACCGCTGCCATCGGCCTGCCCGGAGAGGCTGCCCACGCCGTTCTGACCAGAGGGAGCTGACCTGATTGTCTCCGAGGCAGATTCCACCATCATGTCGCTCTAGCGGGACCTGGAGCGGGAGGAGAGATGGGGGAGGGGCTGAGTGGGTAGGGCAGGTGCAGGTTCTACCCTGGGCAGCAACCATGTCCCTCAACACCCCCACCTAACACCCCACCCCAGGCCTGGGGCACCTCCTCCTAGGACCCCTCTTGGGGTGCAACCTCTCCCAGTGTCACCCTTCCCCTAGGCTGGGAAAAGGAGCAGCCCCAGACTGCAGCTGCCCCTCCTCCCTGAACTTTTTCTCGACTTCCAGAAGACCTCTACAGGGCAGGGGGGAGATGCTGCCCCCCAAACCTATTCCGGCCTCTCCCTCCTGGCCAGGGCATGGGGGGATGGGAGGGAGGGGCGAGGGTTCTGCAAGAACTTAAAAGCAGATGAGCTATTCACTGGGACTCACTATCTCCCCTCCTCCTTTGACACAAACACCTGTAATGGCCATTGTGCTTGCAGACGGGAGTTCCCCAGGGCAGGGAGGCAGGGAGTTCCCCAGGGCAGGGGCCTCCCTAGTCTTTTCCCGAGGGCACTGAGGTTCGCATCAAGATCTGCTCCACAACAAAAAGGCTGCCATTTGCCCAGCACCTCCTGGGACTCAGCTTGGAGCTGTGCAGTGGAGGCAGCCTCGGTCCACCTCTCCGCCTTCCCTTCTAAGGCTGGCGGCGAGGGTCTGGCCAGAAGTAGACCCTCAGTCACATTGTCTCCACAGGCACCATGATTCCTCATCACAAGACTGTGACAGTGTTCATCATCCTGACCTGACAGATGGGAAAGCGGAGGGTCCAGAGTTTGGGGATTTACAGAGGCAAAGGGCCAAGGCCTGAATTCCATACCCTCATTTTCCCACTCCAACTGCCTCCCAGAAAGAGAGAGGGTCAAGGGCAGTGAGGAGAAGGAGGAGGCCTGGACTTCCTTCTGCAACTTGTGGAGGTCCCGCTACCTCAGGGGCTTGCACCCACACTGCGATGGGGAACCTGAACATGCAGAGCTGTTCTCAAAGTCTGGGGTGTCTCCAACGACCCCCAAAGTTGGCTTGAGAGGCACATGGGTTTTAGTGAAACAGGAGATGGCTGGTATCCACCCCTGATCTTCAACACATCCTTTTAAAATATATATATATATATTATTGATTTCAGAGAGGAAGGAAGAGGGAGAGATAGAAACATCAATGATGAGAGAGAATCATTGATGGGCTGCCTCCTGCAGGCCCCGTACTGGGGATCGAGTCCACAACCCCGGGCATGTGCCCTTGATCGGAATTGAACCAGGGACCCTTTGGTCGGCAGGCCAACGCTCAATTCACTGAGCCAAACTGGCTAGGGCTTCAACGCGTCTTTTTTTTTTTTAAGATGTTTTTATTGATTTCAGAGAGAGAGGAAGGGAGAAGGAGAGAGAAAGGAAGGGAACAGGAGAAAGAGAGAAACATCAATGTGAGAGAGGAGCACTGATCAACTGCCTCCTGCATGAACCCTGATCGGGGGACTGAACCCACTATGTGGGCATGTGCCCTGACCAGAAATCGAACTGGTGGCCTTTCGGTGCACAGGACGACACTCAACCGAGCCACACCAACCAGGGCTCCCACACACGTCTTAAACCCCCTAAAACTCCATTTCCTAGAGTCCTGTAAGGAGTAAATAAAACAGCACATACAAACCACCTAGCAGGGTAAGCTCCCATCACCCCCTTCTTCGCCTGCCCTATTTGTAAGGGTGACGACCCTGAGGCTCAGAGAGGTCATGGACTTGGCCCAGGTCACACAGAGGTCAAGGGCAGAAGCCACAGGAGCAGCTAGTGGGGCCTGTGAAAGTCAGCCCGTGTTCTTCCCTCCCTGTTGGCCGAAGCAGACCCCCACAACCACATGGTCTCCCTAACCCAAGAGGCCTTGCAGGTAGCAAATTAGGGAAACTACTGGAAAAGATTGGACTATTTCCCTAGTTCCTCCTCAAAATGCAGCTCCCAGGAGCCTCTCTCTCCTGCCCCCAAATTCTCTCCTTGCACCACGAGGAGAATCCTTTCCCCCTCAGAGGGCCGCGTGCTCTGTTTTATCCCTGCTGGAAGCAAACCCAGTTGAAGTGAGGGTCCTGGGGGGCAGGACAGAGAGCTGCTAAGGGTCCCTGGGGAGCCCACCAGTTCACATGTGCCACCCACATCACTGCTCTTAAGGCCCCTCTCCCTCTGTGACTCTAGGCGTCTCCGTGTGGCTTCCTATGTGAACCTGTGCTGCTGGAGTGTCCTGTGTCTGTGCATTTCTCTGTGTGTTCCCCAGGAACATTTCTCTTGTGTGTCCCCCCACCCCAGCTGCTGCTCCCACTCTTGGGGCCAGAGGAGCTGGGCCAGGGGCGAGGTTGAGGGCGATGGTTCGGAAGAGATTGAGCACTCGGTCTCAGGCCTTAATGGCCGTGTCAGCCAGAGGGCCAGTGGCTGCCAAATGATGGATGGGGTGGGCGCCATCCTCCACCCGCCAGAGCACAGGGCTCCAGCCCCCCTTTCCCCAACCACCCACCCTGATCCCTCCCAGCAGCCTACCGAGCACCTTCCCCCACTCGGGCCTGGGCCCCAGCTACAAGAGGGGGGTGGGGAGACAGCAGGGGCATACTCTAGTCTCCCTCTCCCCCAACACTGGCCCTGTGGGGGGTGGAGAGCAGCTGCCTGCCCTGATTCCAAGCTTAGCTTCTCTGAGATCTGAGAACTCCTGGGCCCCAGGGGACAAGACCAGAGCCTCAGGGGTGTGTGTGCACAGGAGAAAGGAAAGAGAATCCAGCAGTTCTTTCCTG